GGGCGAGGCCAAGGAGATGGGGAAGAAGGACGAGCAGTTCAAGAAGTTGAACTTGGCTAAAAGTGACGTGAGTGTTATCGTCGATGTGGAGGGGGAAGAGGAGGAGGGGGAGAAGCCCCGAGTTTTTGAAAGGAGGGAAGGCGAGAACCCCTGTCTCGCTCTGTTTATTAAGACCCCCCTCCTCCGTCCCAGGGGCAGCAAATACGCAGATAGGAGCACGCGTGGAGACGGACTCTGCCAGCGCGCCTGCTGCCCCCCGAGGTGGCTCCCCCCGGGAGGAGAGCCCCACTCCCCCGCAGCGGCCTCCTCCTGCAGGCAGCGCCCCCAGAGCCTCACACCTCCCGCCCAGACACCCCCCTCGCAGCCCCAGCACGGCCAGCGCCCCGGTGGGCACGCCGGTGCGGCCCCGGTACACGACGCGCGCCCCTCCGGCCTACGCCTCCACGACGCCCATGCTGTCGCTGCGGCAGCGCATGATGCACTCGCGGTTCCGGAACCCCTTGTCCCGCGCGCCGGCCCGGCCCTCTTACAGACAAGGTACTGGTTTTGTCTCATCCTCACTGTGGTTTTCAGTACTGTGCGCAGTTTTCCAGCGTCTGGGATGCTCAGGCACCGGCACGCAGCTGCAGCTTTGCAGATGTGACGGGATCCCATCCTCTTGACCTTCTGGTGGGGTTTCCAGGGTTTCTCCTGGTTTCCAGCTGAGGCGGCTGGGGCTGCGGGGTCTGTGCGGCTGGCCCAGGTCAGACAGCCAGGAGGGCTGCGGCAGCCCTAACCCAGCACTGAGTCCCGCAGCCCTGGCCGCTGCACTACCCCACTCGCCCCTGACCACTCGCCCTGCTCTTCACCGTGAAAAGCCATGATCCCCAAGCAGGTCCCTGTACTGGGGCTACTTTGAGCTGTTCCCCTGCCCGGCACATTGGAGGAGTCAGTAAGAAATGTGGTCCTCTGTGCCTGGGCCGTGTTCTTGTTGATTCTGCATGCAAAGCTCTCAACTGAACACGCGGGCAAACTCCGGTGTCTTGGCCATGAACTGCTTAGACGTTGCACTCAGTGATGTTGTTTAAAACTGGTGGGAAATACATGTTCAAGACAATTGTCACCTAGAGTTGGCACAGGCGGGTGTGTGACTTACATTGAGGAGGAAGGTAGACAGCTGTGAACGGGAGTCTACATGGACCCAGGGCAGGACCTAAGTAAAGTGTTTCCCAAGTCTGCAGTCAGTTACGTGGCACCTGGCACTCTCCCTGCATGGAGTCAGGGCTTGACAGAGCCTCTCTGAGTGAACGTATTGGCGTTTGTTCATCTGTACAAGGTATTGTTCGTTTAGCTCAATGGAAAGACGGAACACGTGCCTCACATTGACGTCGGGGTCCATTAAAATGGACTGTCTTAAGCCTAAGACCCCGGTAACAAACAGAACTCAGATGCCCTTGTACAAAGTACTCAGTAAATGTTTAATTTTCATTAACCATCTGAGCTAGAGAAATAAGTCTCTGACCTGCAAGTCATTGTCAGGGAGCCCAAGCCTTTGATCCCATGGAGGGGCTGGACCACAGAGTGCTCCCAGCAGAGCTGAGGGGACCTGCGGCTGAGAAATGGCGGGAGATGGAGAGGAAGGGCAGGAGACAGGAACAGGCGGACACAGCCACCGAGAGGGCCGCCAGCTGGGCCTTGTACTTCCTCTCCGAGCAGGTACTTCCCAAGCGGCCGGCAGAGCTCAGCAAGCCGAGTCAGCCCCGTGCATTTGTCCTTGGCGGTTGACGGTGGGGACCTGAGTCGGCCAGGGCTAGTTGTGCTGAGTAACCCTGCTGAGGAGAGCAGGACAGCAGCTAGCACATTTCAGAGACAATTTTCTCCAACCCTCCCTCGCTCCGTCCAACTTCCAACCGGGAACATAAAGCTACAGCGCCTTAGGCCTTTAATCTTCATCTGGATAATTTACTTATGCTGAACACTCCTATTCCTCCAATACAGCCAGAAAACCGTGACTTTACTGTGCTCTTGACATTCGTATTTGTCATGTAGAAGTCACAGTTTAGATTATCATCATCTCATGGACATGAGCTGTTGGTTTAAAGTTCTGTTCGTGTTTCTGTTTGAAATGATGTTACCGCTTATAGATTGGCATGAAGCCACCTCTGTAGGCAGGTGGCATTGACCAGGTTCTGTTACCTGTTTCCTGTGCAGGTTATAATGGCAGGCCGAGTGTAGAGGGGCGAGGACTGCCCGGCACTAATGGGAAACCGAGCGGACAAAGAATTATCAATGGCCCTCAAGGAACAAAGTGGGTAGGGTGAACTTCTTTACACATCTCAGTTCTCATGCTGTTGGGAAGAGAAAGATGGTGGACGTTGTGTACCAATAACGAAGCAGTCTTTCCCCTCTTTTTCTCTGGTTTTAACCACTCATCTGTCAATATGCTGTACTATATGCATTCTTCTAGCGACCACAGAGATCTTTGATTCTCCTGAGTAACTAGTTTTTTTCTCATGGCTACTAAGATGAGGCCAGGGCACTCAGACAACGGTATGGCTCACCACAGCCGTGACACAGAACTTGAGGCACAGCCTCTCAAATGAACTTCTATTTTCCCAGTTTATTTTTTGCTTATTGTTTAGTTAAGTACACATATTTTCTGCAAATTGTCTCAAACCCTTTGTCAAAAGGAATTAGAGTGAAAATAAATGAACAAGCAAGAAAACCCTGAATCAAACAGGCAATTTTCATCAGATCACCGTTTGAATCTTCCAATAATTGTTGTTTGTCTAAAATAACAAATAGGTATCAGTATTTGATGTACGTTTAAGTTAAATGACTAACTTCTTGGGTTTAAGATAAATGTTTAGGGATTTTAGGTGGCTTGAGGGTAATGAGAAGAACACTTTATAATATTCAGAGATTTGAAATATTTTTTCAAAAAATCAGAAAAGTATTCATGGTGGAATTCCCAGTCAGCACTTCCCATTTATAACAATAAGGTTTAGGAAAACATATTGGATTCCATGAAATGTTCAGTACAGATTATTTAAAGATAGATCTTCTCATTTCTCAAAGGAACTGATATTTATTCCAGGAAGAAATGCATAGTAAAGCAAATGTCATGTAAACAATTTTGAATTGAACTGTATGGGTAGATTTCAAAAGTAGGGTTTGTATCAATGAGCCTTACTTTAATTACTGAGTCAGGACCCAACAAAGTGGCCTGCTGGCAGGGGCTCCTTCACTGGTCTGAGCATGCACAGTCGTGGTTCTCAATGTTAGTGTCAGAATCCCTGGGGATTTACCAAATATGGTTTCAGATATGGCCAGGTAATTTGCATATCTGACAAGTTCCCAGGTGACACTGAGTATGCTGGCCTGGGACCATACTTTGAGAACCACTGGTGTGGAGCATGAGTTTGTTCCTTAATAGAGATAGCAATACCTTTTTTTCAAGTTTTATAATTCCTTTGGGTAGTAGCTTTTTGCATACATTCTATATTGGGCAATTTAATTCCAAATTAAGTTGTTTTTGTTATAGTAACCTTGATTTTTCACATTAACAGTAAAATAGAAGCATTTCATGTTTTTAATATATTAGCAAGACATGTTCATTGCAAGAGGTTGAAACAATTCAGAAATATGTGAAAAACATAATAAGCATTCCCAATCACTTTTTAAGGATCATCACTGTGAGCGGTTTGGGATGTAGCCTTTAGATTATTTTCTCTGCAGTTTTAAGCTTATAGACACCAATGAATATATTTTTATTTTTGAAAAATAATCATCCCTGTAATCTGAATTTATATCAGTATATGCCACTATATGTAGAAATTTTCAATCCTTTTCACTGGCTGCATAGTATTCCACTATATGGATGTGCCACAGTGTCTTTATCTCTGCCCTCCATCAGTGGCCACTTAGGTTGTTTCCTATTTTTCAGCAGTACATCATCGTACTAAATGGTAGTTTGTACTTATTTTGTATATTCTAGAAACAAAATAATTTACATGCTGTATGGGTAAGCAATGATAATAGGAAATACAATTGTTTTACCATTTATTCTCATTCACCCTTATGAAGGATGCTGACAAAAATAATGTTTCCTGCTCACATTAGTGTTTCCTTCTGTGGCAGCTTCATGCATGTATTCCTGTAGTTGGGTGAATTTGACCATTTTGAATGTCCAATATAGTCTTTAATCTGTGTCGTGGATTTAGGTGGTGGATCTTGATCGTGGGTTAGTATTGAATGCAGAAGGAAGGTACCTCCAAGATTCACATGGCAATCCTCTTCGGGTTAAACTAGGAGGAGACGGTCGAACCATTGTGGGTAAGTGAGAAGGGTTCTTACGGAACAAAAGTGTCCTGACTTCGCCCTGATTTTTAATGGGTGCCCTTGGTCTGGTTACTTTTGACCACGTGCTTTTCCTTGGATATAACTGTCAGCAGTAATTCCAATGGAATCCACCCTCTTAGGAAAGGTGGGACTCAACTTTGTTCTGGAAATTGGCAGCCTCGAGCAGGAGTCAGCCAACTCCGACCCACTGGCCAAACCCTGCCTGCTGCCTGGTTTTGTATGGCCTGTGAGCTCGGAAGAGTTTTCACATGTTTAAATGATTGTAAAAATATTCAGAGAATGATAATCTTTGTGACATGTGGAAATGACATGAAATTCACACTTCCGTGTTCACCCTCAGGGGCTCGTGGGACATAGGAACACTCGCCTGTGCACTGCCTGTGTCCTTAGTCCCCTGCAGGGCAGAGCTGAGCGGTCACAACAGGCAGCGTCTGGCCGTAAAACTCCAAGTGCTTCCTCTCTGGTTTGTTAGAGACAGCAATTGCCACCCCGGCCCCAAGGAGCACTTTTCCTCCTCGGTGTAGGGATGAGAGGAGAGAATCACTCTCCTTACTAAAGACTGAGCGTTGTATCGGGTGATGGGGCAAGGGGATGCATGTTATTAATTTAGACGAAGTAGCACAGAGTAATGGGCAAGATGGTGAGCCCAGGGATGTCTGGGTAGCAGCAGGTATGTCTGCCTCAGCGAATAGCCTTTCAAATGCCCTTTCTTTGTCTTTTTACTGATTAAAATACAAGAATAACAAGCTTTCAGGGGACATTTCCACTTGCTTTTTACTTCCTCTGATTGTGTCCCCCTCGTTGCACAGACTGTATTTGATCTTGTTTCAGATCTGAGAGGGACCCCCGTGGTGAGCCCTGATGGGCTCCCCCTCTTCGGGCAGGGGCGACATGGCAAACCCCTGGCCAGTGCCCATGATAAGCCCATTTTGAGTCTTGGAGGGAAGCCTCTGGTGGGCTTGGAGGTCGTCAAAACAACCACCCGTGCCGCCGCCACCACCACCACCACCACCACCACCGAGAGACCCACCACTACCCCTCGGCCCACCACGGCAAACCTGCGGCCCAGGACCACCACCCGCCGCACCACCACCACCACCACCCGCCGCACCACCACCACCCGCCCAACCACCACCACCCTGCGCCCAACCACCACCATCCGAACCACCACCCCGACAACCACCACCACCACCACCCCCGAGCCCACCACAGCTGTCCCCACCTGTCCCCCCGGGACCCTGGAGCGGCATGACGAAGACGGCAACCTGGTCACGGGCTCCAGTGGGGCCCCGGAGTGCATCCCTGAAGAAGGTAACTGTCTTCTTCTAACGGTGGCCCACGTCACTGCCTCGCTGCCTGTCAGCGGGGGGTCCCCCAGGCTGCAGGGAGGCGGGGCAGGGGGACAGAAACTAGGGGTGTTTCTAATCCTACAAGGTTTGCTCAACAGCACTGTGCCACAGCCAGGGTTGTCAGAGTTAGCAAATAAAGACATTGCACAGGACATGCTTACAATATAAATTACTTGTCATTTACCTAAAATTCAAGTGTAAGTGGGCATGCTGTGTTTTATCTGGCAGCCCTTTCCACAGTCCAAGTCAAAAAATTAGCTAAAACATGGGACATTATTAGTTTGGACTAGCATTTCCAAAGTGTGTCCCTGGGTATCAGTAGGTTAGTATTTGTTAGATAGAAAGATGAATGGATGGATGGATGGATGGATGGATGGATGGAGAGCTAGAGATATGTAACCTATATGTCTATGGCTCTGTGAGTAGCTATGTGATTTAAACAAGGTTAAATGACTGTCTTACTGGTGGGCCATTCGGACTGTTTTTCATTCTCATGGTGAGTTTCCGGGGAAAGTTGTTCCCCAGCACGTTGGGCAGGGGACACTTTTTGATCAGCAGGAGGGGCTTCCACTGGGGGAGGGGACTGCACCAGCTCCCAGCTCTGGGACACCCACTCGGGCCGTGCTCTGCCCCTGCCCATCTTCCTCCTGACAGTGGAGCTGGGACCCTCAGGGTCAGGGCGCGTGGAGCTGAGACGCATCATCTCTGCGGCTGCATCAGGCTTGGAGGAGGCGAAGTCCTCTTCTCCCCGCAGGGAGAGGTGGATTGCGTGTCGGCTGCAAAGCTTATGTCTTTTTAAGCTACTGCAGCGTGAGGACCTTCCTTTCAGCCATCATTCGCAGACCTGAGATTCTCTCACAGCACCGCTGACCATGCCAGGCTCCAGTCAATGTCGACTTGAATGCTGTCCCCAAGGGGGGGCATTGTGTTTGAAGTCCGTCTTTGCACGAACAAGTTCCAAATAACCCGGACTGCTTCCCACCTAAAAGCCCACCCCAAGAACAGGAAGCATCCGAGGAGGAGGAGCATCCGGAGGCGACCTCCCTGTCCATTTGCCCAGTGCATGCGAGCTAGACTCACCTTCGGGTTCCTGGTACCAGCACCTTCCGTACGTTCGTTCCTTGACCTCGTCTGCATGCATTAGCGTCTTATCTTTAAAAACGGAGCTATAATTAGAGTGTTGACTTAACAATTAGCTGTAAGCAGAAGAGTGACTACTTTGGATTTCGCTTTCATTGCCATTATCAATATTTTGAATTTTCTTTTGTTGCTTTTATAGACTTTATTGCTGTTCCCTCATTTATTTTGTATTTTTGGCCTCTTATTTGGCATGAAAGTGGATATTTTTCTTGGCATGTTATTTCTCCTTTTCTTTGCAAATCCTGATATATACACAGGGTGCGCAAAAGTAGGTTTACAATTGTGAGTACACAAAACACAGTTTATCCTTATATTATTAACTTTTGTATTATTTATTTGTATTACAATTGTAGACGTACTTTTGCCCACCCTTGTACGTATATTCTTTTCTGCATCCATGTCCCTTCTTCTGATTCCCTGATATTCAAGTGTCAATAATGACTTGCCTCTAGGCAGCATTTTCAAAATAAGTACAATAAATGCAAAGTTCTGGGGAAAAAATTAAATGTAAGGGGAAAAGTGCATCATCTTTAGATAAGATTACAATGTATTACAATTCATTACTTTAAAAAAACAGTTGACCCTTAACACGGGTTTGAAAGCACAGGTCCACTTATATATGCAGATTTTTTTTCAATAAAAACTATAAATGTATTTTCCTTATGATTTTCTTAACATCTTTTTCTCTAGCTTACTTTATCATAAGAACACAGTATGTATCAGATATAACATACAAAATATGTGTTAACCGATCATTTGTGTTATTGATAAGGCTCCCATCAACAGTAGGCTCTCAGTAGTTACGTTTTGGGGGAGTCAAAATATACTCAATATACTCAGATTTTGACTGCATGGGTGGTCGGTGCCCCCCGCCCCCCTTCCCCCCCCCCCCCCCCCCAACAGGGGGGGGTGTTTAAAAAATTGGCTGGCTTTTAAAAACAAGCCACAGTTCCTCTAGGAAATCCTGTGCATTGTCTACAACATGCAGTCGTTTTCCCTTTCTTGGCTGAACACCTTGCGGTGGCCTGGATGTGCCAACACACCCGTGCGCTGTGCTGACTCAGCGGAGAGGCGCTTCCAGGAAGGGGCTGATGGCAGCAGAGCCACGTCCTGGGTCTCCCTGACCGAACCTGCAGGACCACCCGCCCCGGCTCCCTCCTCTTCCTCTGCTCCGAGTCTGTGTTCTCTCACACCCTTCTCTCTTGTATTGAGCATACAGTGCGCACTTCCAAGGCCTGGGGTCCATGTGGGCACAATTAGTACTTACCAAGCACTTTGTTTATTGTTGTGATAATTACGGTTTAGAACCAGCATTAGTGATCAGGGAATGCGTATCTGCTTATCCAAGCCCCACCCCCCCACCCTCATCTGGTGGACAGTTGTCATATGCCATTGGCAAAGTCCTCAAGTTTTGTTTCTAGGCCTCCAACTTTAAAATCTTCTTCTCAGTCTCAGGTCGTGGCTCCCCTGGTTAAAGCATGCCCCCTTTTCCTTGGAAACACGGCTTTCAAATGACGTTCTGGAATAATCTGTATCGTGCAGCCATCCCAGCAATGCAAGTGTTTATGTCCTTTTGCATTTGTCACGGATGCCGTCCCTGCGTGTGTCTTCCTGTGGGCATGGATGCAGATTACACGCTTGTTTCCAGCGTATTGCTGCTTCCACTTCTCTGCTCCTTTCTCCCTCTCCTCATGCGCAGACACACACATCCTTTTTACTTGCTCTGACTGCAGTAGAGAGAGTGCCTTCCTCCCGGGACTGGATCCTTCCTCTTTGGTATCTAAACACCACCTTAAGCGACAGGCATTCTCCGTTTCTACCTGCGGAGTAAGAGCCAGTACCCTTGTGCTTCAGGTTCCCTCTCTGCAGCGGGTCTGATGAGGTCATGTGTTTGGAAATGGGAGGTGCCAGCTGAGCATCTTTGACCATTTGTGGGGCCTGTTTCAGTAACACAGTCATGTTGGAATGGCCCCACTGGCCACGCTCGCTCCCAAGACAGAAAAGACGAAGAGGATAATAAAAAATTCACTGGAGCTGGACCAACCGTACACTTTGCAAATGTCCTTGGTTTCAAATGACCATCATTCACCTCCTCTCTGAACTTCTACTGAGAATCGTTTTTATAGTTTTCAAAAATATCTCTGGAGCTAAGGCCTCGTTTTGGGGGATATTTTGCACTCGTTTTTTTAATGGCCATTTGCATAAGTCACTCAAGAGAATAAACCATCCACCATGGTTGGTGGCTGGCAGTTACTTGTACATGAAGAAGTGGAAGCTTTTGACATTGGAGCAGGGTTGACTCATACAACGTCCACTTTTACGTAGTTGCAAGTGGTTGAAAAGGCATCCGGAGGAGCAAATTCTGACAGCTTAAAAAAATAAATACACTGATTCCACCTTGGAAGTAACTTTTACTTGGAATCAAGATGGTGCTATTTTGGAAAAAGCTGCCTGACTTTGTTTGTTTGTTTTTTAAAGAAGGAGCACTGCATTACTCAATATGATGATTACTTTTGCCAGAAGACGTAGCTGTTGCTCACCCGAATAGGTGACCCTGCTTTGCGGGTCCCCGGCACCATTCCTGTGACCTGCTGTCGGGCTGGGGTACTTCAGCGCCTCCAGGAGTTGTACTTCATCCTGGGCATCCACGAAGGAAACCTTACACTTTCCCTTCCCTTGTTCAGTCTGAGATGCAAAAATTATATGACTTATTCATTGGTGACTTGGCCAAAAATAACAGTGAAAAGAAACGGGTCTGAACCGATAATGAGGAAAAACAAGACTCTGTTCTTAACAGTTCAGTGGATGAGGGAAAGAAAGAGGCGTTCCTGGAAACAATGGCAGGATGACCTCCAACGCTAGGTGCCCTGAACTTGAAAACTGCTCAACTTGACCCAGCCCAGGAGTAATTCCTCTTGGATCCAGGCGTATTGACATTGGAATGACCGAAGGGAAATCATGTCTAATGGTTTTTCGTGAAACGACCATTGTGAGCCCCGAGGGTGGATCATTCGCTTCTCTCTTGCGGACACCCATGGGCCCCATCAGAGCATGCCCGGCATTAGCGCCGAGAGGGTGAAGTGGGTGCTGGGCGTCCCCCAGGCCCCGGTGGCTTCGGGCTTTGCCCTGTGTTCCTCGGAAGGGCCGGTGGCCAAGGTCCTCCGCTGGCGGGGTTTGTTTTGGCGCCGTTGCATTCATGATGTTATCCAAACCAGCCTCAAAGGAGGCCAGTGGGCTGAATCCTGGGGAATGATCAATGAGTGTCTCACAATGAAAAGTTCAAATTGGTGCCCGTAATTTTTTAGGGGCGGGGCTTATACACCTTCCACTTCACCTGCTCCTTTATTAAGCTGGGGAATGGTGATTCTAGTAGCGCAGCTTAAGGTTTACAAGCGACTTCATGGCTTAGTTGAACATTTAAAAAGTGGAGACAGGTTATGAAGGATAAAGTACACAGTTTTTGGAGCCAGAGGGTTTGAAGTTCAAGTTCAGTGTTAGCTCTGCCTTCGCCAGCTGTGGGGCCCCAGGCACATGTAAGTCCTTGGTGTCCGTGGCTGCCAAGCAGGCATGAGTCCTTGCATGTATCTTCTGAGCAAGTGCAGGAGGCCCTGACTCTGAGGACTTATGCCCATGAACCCGCCACGGGGGGAGAACCATTGTGCCCTGGACACGATCCTGAGCCTGGAGCCCCGGTGACCCTCTCTCCCTCCCTCTTCCCTAGATGATTTCTCAGGATTGGAGACGGACACAGCCACATCCACGGAAGAGGCCTACGTTGTCTATGATGCAGGTACTAACTGGTTTTAAGCACATTATTTGGATAATTTCTTTCCTGGTGGGAGGACCTTATTTTAATCCCTAAGTGGGTGTGCTGAATTGCAGTTTCCTTCAGAACCCTGGGGCGGTGGCCGGCCTTAGGGAAGGTGGGTACCCCACACTTCTAAGTTGCCCCAGTACATATTTGATCCAAAGGAAGCGTGTGCATGATTGAAAATGCAGCTTCCAAAGAAGGTCCCTCTGCTCCCCACCTCTCCCTTCCAGCCCCTCCTTCCTCCAGAAATTCTCAGCTGCCCCGTCTGAGCCTCCCCCTCCTCTGCTCTTTGTAAAACTAACCAACATCTCAGCTTCCTCTCTCGGCTCTTCACATTCTTCCCTGTTCTCTCTTTTTCTGATTCCATGGCAAATGCAATGCTACGGATGTGTTGATTTTTTTTAAATAATAGAATCTTTGCAAGTAAGGATAAGATTAAGAGTACGAAACGCCTTGGGTAGATCTGGAACTGTTTCTCAATGAACGGTAACAACGGTGTTGTTATACTTACGACCCTGCGACTCGTTGGAGAAATTCATGTCGGCATCCTGTCCCCACCCGGGACTCAGAGGTTCTCACTTTTGCCCTTCACCTTGCCTGCTAGTAGCCATCGCTCCAATGGTCTGAAATCACAAATGTGGGAGCATGTGGGAGCAGTGTCTCCTTTGCTGCCATCATAATACAGTTTGATGCAGGGTTGAATCTTGCAAACAAAAATGAACTTCAAAGAAAGAAAGCAGAGGAAGGTTCCTTAGCACCTTTGCAAACACTATGCAGCTTCCCATTACCTTTGAGCAGCTGAAAAGGGAGCAGTTTTATTTTCTTTTTTAAATGTTAAAAGATTATTTCTCTTAGCGGAATTAATCCCACCTCCTCCTCAGAAAAAAGCCAAAGATGATAAATGGAAAACAATCAAGTTTATTTTCTGATGGGAATCTGTTATGCTCTAGGAGGGGAACTGATTTAGGTAGAGACTGGCCTTGGACAGGACCAGGACCGTGCTAAACTGGTGAATTCTAAGGCTCTCTCAGCTTTGATTTAAAAACTTCATTTTTTCTGGTCAGATGTGGTTCTTTTTTCCCGTCCTCTCTTTTCTCTGCAGCTGCTTTTCTGAGGGGATGGAAATGGGGGGAAATACTGTTTTATTAGAAATAAATTATGTTTGGGCACGGCATTTATCGTGGGGTGTGTGCGCGCACGCTTTAATCTAGAGTGTGGTCTTAGAAGGTCTCTTTTGGCTGCAAACAGCACTCCTTTGAGGGAGTGCCCAGTTACAGAGCCTTCATCCCGTTTCAGATTATGAACTTGAGACCTCGAGGCCGCCGGCCTCCACCAGGCCCTCCACCATGGCCGCCACGCCCGCCGTTATCCCGGCAGAAGGCACCATTAGCTCCTTCCCCGAGGAAGAGTTCGACCTGGCTGGGAAGAAGCGATTTGTCGGTAAATAGAACTTTCTTAACCAGAGGAACGGGGTTTAGCTTGGGCCCTTTGAAGACGCGCATGGCCAGACCCTGGCCTGCCGAGGAGGCCCATGTGGAGCAGAAACTTTCCCAGAGTGAAGTTTCCACTTGGGGCGACCAGCGAGTCACTTCTGTTGAGACCACAGGGACTCTTTGCGGACAGCAGGAGAGGGGCGCATGCGGGGGACTTGGAATTGGACAGAGTAGAGATGGGCTGATCTGTGTGGCCTGAGAGTAAGGGACACTAGGGAGTATCAGGTCGGGAACACGAGTATTTTTGTCGCGGCCAGTGTCTGAGACGGGACTTCCTCGGGGCTCGCCTGCACCTTCAGTTCGTCCGCAGAGATGAGCACTGACCGACTGATGGTCGCCCAGAGCCAGGGCTTTCCTCTGAGTCACTGCCTATCTCTCTCATTAGCCTCGAGGCCTTGGGACCCATGAATTTATCCTCCTCCTTTTTGGCAGCTACGGAGACAGTTTCGAGAGGAAACTGTTTTGCTAAACTGTGTTCCACTCCCTTTGGGAGTCTTCTTTTCCCACGTCCTTAATGAACTTCACTAACGAGGCACTTAGATTAATATCTTACTAAGTAGAAAAAAATAATATATGACTAAGTAGACTGGCAACAGCTTAAACTAATATCACACTCTTTTGTTTCCAAAACAAATGCTCTGCTATAAGCAGAGAACAGCTCTTGCCAGCCAAGATGTAGTTCTGAGTGTCTCGACGACACGCACTTGAAGAGTGAGCGTAATTAATGTGCGGCGGCATTCCTGCGGGAGATGCCAGTGCTGGCCCGTGGCAGGCAGCAGCCGGCTGAATTCACCAAATCCGACTCTCTCGTTGCACGCCGGACTCGGAACTCCTGTCAGCGCTGTTATCAGCTGTCCCAGAGAACTCCGCTGAAGACGGAGAGGCTGCCATGGTCTGGCTGTTTCTGTGTGTCTGTAATCTATACAGCTTAGATTGCTCTCCAAAACTTCCAGATGAGATCCATGGACAAGCCCTGAAGGCCCAATTTTATACAAACTATTGGAAAGTAGAGGAGCTAAAAACTGCCTTTAGTCAGAATAGCCACTGAGAATGAGCACCCGCACCAAAAGATGCAATGGAACACTTAGAAAGTCCTAGAGCCCTGGCCGGTTTGGCTCAGTGGATAGAGCATTGGCCCTTGGACTAAAGGGTCCTGGGTTCGATACCGGTCAGGGCCCATACCTCTGATGCAGGCTTGATCCCTGGCCCTGGTCGGGTGCATGCGAGAGGCAACCAATCGATGTGGCTCTCTCACGTAGATGTCTCTGTCTCTCCCCCTCCCTCCCACTCTCTTTAAAAATCAGTGGGAAAATATACTCGAGTGGGGATGAACAAAAGAAGAAGTGCTAGAATGAGAGCACTCTGGAGCCTTGTGTGTATAAAGCCCGGCCCTGTGTCCCTGGCGTTTCCAACTTCTTACAGAGCGCGCATCTCAAACAGCTGTGGGCTGGAGGGAGAGCCTCCTATTGGGGCCCTTCTTTCCCGGGCCCCCCTCAGTGTCAACAGACTCAGCAGGGCATGGGACATGAGTCCAAGTCCTGCCTTATTCCTGGTGCCCTGGTGCCCACTGAGGTTGGTGTAGAAAAACCTCGAACCTGTTCATAAATGTGGGTAGCTATTGTGCTGAGCAGAGTGTTGTAGAAGGCTGTTCAGGCCTGGCCTTTGCAGACATTCCAGATGGGGATGGGGGTCATGGAAGCCCTAGAGAAGGCCTCCTAGGACTGATGCCAGAGGCTGTATATCTTGAACAGTGTGTATTCCTTTCTGGTCCCAAGACTGTCTAGGGCAGCCGTGGGCAAACTACGGCCCGCGGGCCGGATCCGGCCCGTTTGAAATGAATACAACTAAAAAAAAAAAGACCGTACCCTTTTATGTAATGATGTTTACTTTGAATTTATATTAGTTCACACAAACACTCCATCCATGCTTTTGTTCCGGCCCTCCGGTCCAGTTTAAGAACCCATTGTGGCCCTCGAGTCAAAAAGTTTGCCCACCCCTGGTCTAGGGAATGAATTTTGTTCTGGGCCTGATTCACACTTTTCCAAATGTTTGGGCATAGGAATGGTGAAATGCTGCAGATCTAACTTATGTTAAATGAATTGCAGTTTGGGAATCTTTCAAAGTAGCTGTGAGGCCATAGTCATCAATGTTCATGGGGCAATAGCATCTTTTGAAACCATGAGATTAACAGATAGAAATGGGTGGGTCCATTAAGGAGAGCGAGGGATGTGCTTCTGGGTTTGCTATGAGGGCTGATGACCTTGGAACCTCTGTCTAGCAGGGAGAGACTGAACGATTGGTCTGCTCCATGGAGCAGACCTTATGTTTCTGCCTCCAGAGAAAGCCTTCAGCAACCCGACTGGGTGTCTGTTCTCTTACAGCTCCTTATGTGACGTATCTAAGTAAAGACCTATCCGCCCCTTGCTCTCTGACCGATGCTCTGGATCACTTCCAAGTGGAGAGCCTGGATGAAATCATTCCGACTGACATGAGGAAGAATGACCTGCCTCCGCAGCACGCGCCCCGCAATATCACCATTGTTGCTATGGAAGGCTGCCACTCATTTGTCATTGTGGACTGGGACAAAGCCACCCCGGGAGATGTGGTAACAGGTGTGTCCAAGGCAGATGTTTAGAGTTCCCATCAACATGTAGGTGGGACATACAGATAATAATGGATGGACAGATGAGGATGAGTATATGGAGGGATGGAGGGATGGATACATGGATGGATGGGTGGATGGATGGATGGATGGATGGATGGATGGATACATGGGTGGATTGGATGAATGGATGAGTAGGTGCGTGGGTGGGCTAGATGGATAAAATGCAGATGTCTTCTTTCAAAAGGATGAAATATAGGCAGGTAGGGAAGTCCTGTGGGGCAGTATGAAGAGCACTGGATGAAGTCAGAAGTCCAGAATCCTAGTCCAAGATAGATTGCATGACCTTGAGCTACCTCCTTCATCTCCCTGGACATTTGTTTCCTCTTGTGCAAAATATTGTTACATCTTTTGCGTTCTGTAATCCTGCAAAATAGCCAGGGAGTCCATGTAGCCACTTGTAAGATTAGATCCTACAGTATGATGGATGATGAAGAGCTCCTACCGTGTGCTACCTTGTGACTCTGCCTCTTCCATTTTCCATGCCTGCTGGGTGCTTCCAGATCAGTCTTAGTGCTTCTGAATTGCTTATGTGGGAATTGGATGCGATGGAAAAAGGCCCAGGCATCTTGAGCCTCCTAGATTCTTGGCCTATGAGATGATCATGAGTTCATCTGACTCTGCCAAGGATATATTTGAGGAGAAATATATTGAAATAAGTTTTTACCGAAGATAATTGATATTTTCTTTGAAGAGACCCTTCCTTTGTGAATGATTTCTTCTGAGCCTGCAAGTTGTGTAAGAGGAAGGGATATGTATGTGTGTGTGTCTTGGGCTAGATGGGTGATGGTGGTATAGTTTGACATTATCTGTCACTATTATGCTAATGTAGTTCATCAAAGTCATAGTACTTTTGCTTTATGTCCCTAATATTATCTCTTAAAATGAGAAAAAAGTATCCAAGAACATCCAAAAAGCAAGTTTTCTTATGGAGTTTGCACAGCAGCGCAAAAGCCCGGATAAGGGACACAGGAAAGAACAGCCGGGTATTGTGCCAGGTGAGGTTGCAGGGCCCAGAGGAGCCATGACGGTGCAGGATCGAGGAGTCTGAGCCTTAGGTGTAACTAACAGTGCTGGTTACTCCAGTGTGCATGCTGCGTGGGCTGCTGCAGCCAGTATCTATGAAGTCCAACATGCTTCTAATAGGAAGCAGTAAATCAATGGAAGAAGGAAAGCTTGCAGTCAAAACATCCAGAAAATTCTTTTCATTGAATATGGTTTTATGAAGGGCAATTTTGAAAATCAAGCAAGCAAGCATACAGAAGAATCATTGAAAACCTTACCTTATACTGTTTAGCTTTTGATCTCTTGCACAACAGAGGTTACTTAACATAAGTATACCACTGCTCCCTGAGCCCTGGGGCGTTTGAGAAACACAGCTGAAGGATGAGAGTTATCAGTTATCCTTCAGGGATCGCCCCATTTGAGGACCCCAGGGAAGCTCTCCATGTCCACCATGACTAGGTCTCCCTTCACACCCCTGGGAGCACGTGGACAGATCCTTCATAGTTCCAGTCACAGCTGTGTTACTCGGTCTGTCTGTCTGCTCTACTGCTCCCTGAGTCCTCAGCACTTAGTATAGTGTCTGAGCAATAGTGGACATGCAGTAAATATCTGTTAAATGAATTAATGAATGAACTTGAACAAGATACTTAGCCCTCTCTAAGACTCACTTTTCTCATGTCAAAGTGTGGCTACTCATACCCATGCAGTAGGCCCAGGAGAATTAACCAGAGAGAAACGGGAAGTGTTTAGCATAGTGTTCGGGACATAGGAAGTGCTTGACAAGGGGTTCTCCCTTTGTGTGTAACGTAAGAGACCTAGAACAGAGGATGCGGGCAGCTGTGCCATGACCTTCGCTCGGCCTTCTGAGGCAGCCTGGGCAGGTGTCAGTGCCGAGGGCCCCCCCTCTGAGCTCTGAATAGCGATGAGGCAGAAAGAAGAGCTGCCTGACTGCTCTCATTAGACATCAAGGTCAAGGGCAAGAACGGGTATTCACCACGAGAAATCGTAGGGGAGCCTTCACCAGTCAGGTAAGACCTCAATGACTCCGGGGTCTTTCAGCCACACACGCGTACATGGCATTCCACAGTGTCTTTGTTTCGTGTGAGAAACGGCTGGATGTGTCTCTACCAGGAAATAATCTTACGACTTGTGTGGCCGTCACTCCTCTCTCCCTCTGCTTCTCCTGGGCAGTCAGGATGAGGTGGGGTTAGTTCTGAGGAGATGAGGGGGCCACGGGGTGTGGGAGACTAGGAGGAGGAGGAGAAGTGGGAGGCTAGCAAGTCTCAGGAAGTGTCTTTAATTTTGTTACCTGCATGTGGAGTCACCAGAAGATCCCAACACCCCATCCTCACCCAACACACAGCGTCCTCTCTGTGGAAACTCCCGCAGAGCCGCCTCCACGCCGTCGCCTCACCCCTGCCCTCCTCCACGGGTTACACCTTTTGCGGGGCGTGGTGCCTTCACGCTCACTGGGTTCTTCCTTCTTCCCACACGCAGGCTACTTGGTTTACAGCGCATCCTATGAAGACTTCATCAGGAACAAGTGGTCCACCCAGGCTTCGACGGTCACTCATTTGCCCATTGAGAACCTGAAGCCAAACACAAGGTAGGGCGTGGCAGTCACTGAAAAACCAAACAATGAGGCCTGTGGACACAGTGACAGGTATCCTTGGGCTGAAAAGGAAGAAGCTCAACCAAAATGTTTTTATGATTTCCTTTGCCTCCTCTTCAGTTCTCGTAGTGTATCCGTGGACACCCACCTAGGACAGGTAGTTCCTCGGAAGCAGTTACTGTGGTTACTGCAATTGTTAGTCTGTTGTGTGGACATTTTGTTCCCTGGTTTCCAGAGACTCAATGCCGCCTACCACTGGGTAAGCAGAGATGTTCTGTATTGAAAAGGAAGTGATCCTTTTGTCGTCACCCGTGTGGCGGCGTTAGACGGGCACACCCTCCCCATGTGACGTCAATGGAGCAGCCATTGCTAACGTTTTCATTCACTGGTACTCAAACTCTATGATGTATAGTTTAGATCATTCCAGGATTTAAAATAGGTTACCACCACGTCTTCCTACACCGGGCACGTGCTGGCTGGGCAGAGGGCCATCTGGGAGCCAGAGTTTACAGCCTTGGTGTGAAAAATGCAAGATGCATCCCCAGGGTACAAAGTGGGGGAGTTTGCATTTCCGCTTCTATACAGTCTGGTTTTGAGGGTGATGACCATCAGGAAAGCTTCCCTGGTGGGTGAACACGGTGAAGCACGGGCACGGGGTGGCCGAGCAGTGGAGTGCCTGTGAACCAGCTCTCTGGGGGAAAACAGCGTTCCCTGGTGCGTGGTGTTTGCCAGTGCTCCCACCAGGGCCAGTGGGTTTCATGCCTAAAAATCGGTTTAAGACGCCGTTAACCAGGAGAAGGAGGGTGGGGCAAGGCCAGGTTGTTCCAGGCAGAAAGTTTGCTCAAAAAGACGGTGCATTCTAGGAAAGGAGACCGAGAAGGCAGGAGGGGTGAGAAGGCAGGAGGCTACACGCTGGTCCCAGAGGGCCTGCGGAGCCCCTGGGGGCCTCTGTCCTACCGCCCACCCACGGTCAGCTGCCTGGTGGACAGACTGGAACAGCAGCTGCTATTGTGTTCTCCCCAGGGTGCCTTCCCGGTCATTTGTTCTGATGGGGAGTGCTGCCCAGGATGCGAGCACCGTGCCTTCTCCCACACGGGTTCCTCATAACCGCTCTGAACAGCTGCCAAACTCTCCGGGCCAGGGAAACGCTGTGATGGGAGGATGCTTTTCCCCTGCGTGAACCTGAGGAGGAGGAGGAGAAGTGGGGGACTAGCAAGCCTCTGGGGGACTCCCTTTAGGAATCCAATGCTTCCTCCATGGAGTCCGGGTTTTCCCACCTCATCGCTGTCCCCATGCTTCCCAGACGTCCCCCGAATCGGAGACACAAGAAGCCATGGATGCAGAGGAGCCAGAGTGTAAACCCAGCTGTGGCTCTTCATCGCGAGTCTTGGGTGTGACTTCGCGTGGGCATATCACCCAGCTCTGCCAGCTCACTTTCTGGAGCGCGTATTTTAATCCACACTCAAGGTCCGATGATTTGTCACTGCGGAGTCGATTCAAAAGCAGGGCCAAAGCCTATGTAAGGCAGCAAGGCATGGATCGCACCTGCTACTTGGGCGAGGCAGACACTCTTCAGAGTATGAATGTATATTTTAGCTCATAGCAAAAGCTTCATGTGGTTTTTGAAAATAGGAGCTTCACTTTCTTCATAATTCCAGGTTGCTTTTCAGTGTAGCTTATTTAAATTTACTTGGACACATTAGGTGAAGTTCAAGTGGAAGCATGTCCTTGGAGTTGGGCCACGTGGCTTTGCGGAGGATGGAATGATGATGCGCCGGGACGGTGGGTCTGGAGATGCTGAGGTGCCAGAGGGAGACCCGCTGATGCAACAGAAACGCTGGACCAGCTCCCCTCTGGGGACTGGCGTCTCCTCGGTGCACAGCTGAGTGCGGAGCTTGGGGAAGGGGCATCAGGCGGCTCCAGTGGTGGCTCGAGAAACAGTCAGGAGGAATGTCCCCTGTAGCCTCAGAATGTGTCATCCCTTGGGCTTTCATTTCCTTTTTCTTAAGGAAAAAAGAAAATATCTGTAAAGTTTGACCAGAATCATAACAGCCAGACCCACCACTTGACCAGCTGCAGTTTCGCCTTCGATTCCTCCCCAGCCACCCATGAAAGTGCACACCGCTGGGAAAGCGTGAACTGAGCAGCGTAAGATCTGGAGACTTGTGTGCTCAATTGTGCATCTTTTTCTCAAATGAAATTTTAGAAAGGATTCTCCCCTTAATGAGATGGGAATGACTCTTAAAGGCTTCAAAGAAGACTAATTTTACTGGGTGGCTTCATCAGCTCAGCCATTTCGACCAGCTGTTTCATCAGACACAAAATCACGTCCTGTCTGTAACTGTGAGGCCGAGGGCTCCTTGGTGATCGAGGATGCTCAGAGGCGTGGCGCCAGGACACAGCCTTTGCTCTCCGCATGTCAGTAACTCACCTTTAAAACCCAGTGCCTTTTCATCAGCGCATGTAATCTGTGCGCCTGACGAAGAATTCTGGAACGAAGTGTGACTCCTCTGGTCAGAGCCACAGAGAAAGGCTCGCCGTGAACTCTCCAAAGCGGTGCAGAGCCACACTCGCAGGATGTACCCCTTCCTCGCCTGCAGTAGCCCAGAGGGCAGGGTGAGGGAACACAGAGCTTCACAGAGACTGAGTGGGTACTAGGTGGTGCTGGGCCCCAGTCTCTCCAGCCACCGCTTTCATCCTGTAGCTCCCAAGAGAGCAAAGCAAGATGTCCCGGGACTCCCACCCCCGGGGGCCTAGCAGCCTCCCTCCAGGTGGACGAGCCGATGTGCTTGCTGCTCATTCTCTGTTCCAAGACCGAGGAGAATCTCGAGAAGTTCTCCAGGCCTGCTCCACATCCCTTCCTGGACTCGCTCCTCTCTCCCGGAGGCGCAGAAGCTCGAAACTCTTCTAAGGCTTCCGAGCCAACCACAGCGCTTGTCATGCAACCAAAACACGTTGGTTGCCTCTGGACCAGTTCTCCCTCTCTGCCCTCGGTCATGGCGGGCCCCAGAGCCTGCTCTTCCACGCGGAGCCCAGCGGTGCCCTCCGGAGCCTGGCCCTCCAGCGGGGCCCAAGCAGGACAAGAGGAGGTTCCTCCCAGGGCCGAGTCTCACAGCAGAACCACCGGGTGCCCTAAGGGACACAATCTCTCTGTGACGCCCCGTCTGCTCCCAGTGGCCACAGGTCTATGCTGTTCATTGTATTATTTTGAAAAGTTATTAGAAAATGAGAAAGTTCAGAGAACGATGAAGAAATAGCAGGGATGTGTGCATTAGTAAAAAAAAAAAAATAGGACTCAAAGTCTGCCACAGAGTAAGGAGTTGGGAAGTCTGTCTTATTACAGAACTTAAACAAGCGTCTCTCTCAGCAAGCGTTTTCTTCCCGTTTCAGGTTTAAAGTTCAAGCCAAGAACCCTCAGGGCTATGGACCCATCAGCCCGTCGGTCTCATTTGTCACGGAGTCAGGTACGGCCGGCTGCCTTCACTTCTCCCTTTTCTCAAAAACAAATAATTTGGAATAATGACTGCAATAGAATAAAAACTGGAAAATTAGAATCCTAACTTTTCTATTTACTGAATTCATATTGGCTATTGCTTTATTAAATAAACATCACTTTCTGCTAGGTTAAAACTTGGACGATAATATTCAAAGTAGTCTTTTTTGGAACTGCCTGGGAAATGGAAAGGTCAAATTCCAGTGAAAGGGGGGATCTAGTTCTCAGCCATGCAGGAAAGATAGTCTGAATCTCTCCGCAAAAGATTTCGTGGCAGAGGTAATTTTTTCATTGCAAACAGCTGAAGAGCATAACTAGCCTGAGGCCTGAGAGGCAGCTGCTTCTAACAATGAGTTACGTCTCTAAGATGCTTATTTAATTGTTTAAGATTTTTCTTTTCTTTTTTAAAAATATATTTGTATTGATTTCAGAGAGGAAGGGAGAGAAATAGAGAAACATGAATGATGAGAGGGAATCATTGATCCGCTGCCTCCTGCCTAATGCATCAAAACATGGGGAAGAAAATGAAATCTTTTTGAGAATATGCTCTATACTGGAAATGTAGGCAAAGGACCTCAATAGCACTTTCACCTATTTCATCTAAGAAGTGTGTTTCTCATTAGTAATCAAGAAGAAGCCATTATCAGTGGTTAATGTGCTAACGTGGGGAATGTGTCTATATTTATGGCTACATTTCCTAAAAAGAAAATGGACTTTTGGCAACTTTCAGAATCAACATGATGAAAATCTATAAGAAGAAAACCAAATTATTCACATTTAAGCATCTATCAAGAACCTGATGTCTGAAATCTGAGGGAGGAAGGCACATGTGTAGCTCATTCTCGTTCATTACTCAGCAGCATCCCTTGCACGGCGGCTGCACCACAGTGAGCTTCTCCACTCACCTGCTGGTAGACATCGGCTGTTTCTGCTCTTTGACTATGAAAAATAAAGCTGCTGTGAGCGTTCGTGTATACAAGTGTTTGCCGGGACATGTTTTAATTTCTCTTGGATAAGATCTCAAGGCTACAAAGGGTGGATTGTACAGTAGGTACATGTTTACCTTTTTAAGAAACCACCAACCTGTTTTCCCAAGATGGACACGTTTTAAAACATAATGAGTATTTCATTTCATTATTTTGTGGTACCCAGTGTCAAAGTATTCAGAGACCCACAACTTCTATAAAAATAATGAAGTATTTCTCAAAAGAAAGTGCTCAGAAAATAAAAACTAACAAAAATGTTGGCCTCTGACAAAGAAACCGTATATTTTTTCTTTGCTACTCCAGTTGGGTTAGCCCTCTCGGTTATAATACACATTTAAGCACTGGCATGGTTGTGAAATGTGATAATGGAGTCATTTTTTTTTCATTCCACAGACAACCCTCTGCTTGTTGTGAGGCCACCAGGTAAGTCTGTCTTCTTGATAAACTCCATATTTGAGTAATCATGTTGAACACTGACTATGAGATTATTACAAGTGCTGGACCATTTTTGCATTTTTATATTAGGACGACATCAGTGGTTTCTTTACTCCCTTCATCCTAATCCAGGGAAAAGTGATCTGGGAATTTTTTAATAGCAGCCAATATTGATTAAAAAAAACCCATTATGGGTGGCCAAGCTCTCTGAGAATAGATAAGTTTATTTTCATTCAACCCCCTTTGAATATTTTAAATATTTGAAAAGGTAGCAAAATGCATTAAGTGTATAACAAAATTTTACTTTGTTTTTAAATAACCTGAGAAAGCTTTATTGCTCAAGTTCAGGATGGGTCTTCTGAGTGACAAGAACAGTAGGAGTCTATGCAGAGGGACCTGGTGGGGGGTAGGATGGCATGCTTAGCAAGATCAACTTGGCCTCGATAGCTTATTGCCCTTGAGGCATAATGCCTTTTTCTTACTCTGAGAATCTCTTCACTATGTTCGAGTAAAAGGAACTCTACAACTGTGTTTCAGTCCTAAGAAGGCAAAGGAAAGAGAAAGAGGATGCCCACTGGGAGGTGGGAAAGCTTTGCTCAGGGAAGCCCTGAGAAGGAAGGCCCAGCAAATAAGTCAGATCTCTGGTACTTGGTGCGAGAATAAACACTGGAGCACCAAGCCCTGGTGTGTTTTTGTTGTCAAGGCGGCGAGCCCATCTGGATCCCATTTGCTTTCAAACACAACCCTGACTACACGGACTGCCACGGCCGGCAGTATGTGAAGCGGACGTGGTACAGAAAGTTTGTGGGCGTCATTCTCTGTAACTCACTGCGGTACAAGATCTACCTCAGTGACAACCTGAAAGGTAGGTCTTTGAGGCTGGTTGGCTGTGGGAGGGTAGGAAGAATTTTTATTTTATGAGCTACTCACTTGACATAGCAGGTGTGTGAGGATATATTTAGGTTTAGCTCAAATACAAACCAGCTTGGCAGGCTCTGTTTTAGGGTGATTCGTTCCTACACTGGCACCCAGAAAGATACATGTTTTAAATCTACCTTTTAGGAATGAAGTCCAAAATTCTGACATAAATTTAAAGGCCAGTTTTTGCTGTTAACGCAATAACAGGTAGGAGTATAAGCTGGAAGTATTGAGGAAAACACTCCCTTCATTTCCTGCTACTGGCACAACTTTACAGAGAAAAAGACACAGATGGTAAAGCATGCATTATCAGTACCATCTTTTCCAAATAACAGTTACATCGTCTTCATCGTGGGTGGGAGTAAAACAAAGGATAACACGCACACTTTGACCTACTAACATTCCAAAATGCCATCTGACGCAGCTGGCTTTGCCTCATTCACCTACGCAAATTTGTTTTTATTTATTTTTTGTTTTTGTTTTTGAGTTTTTCCATTTTTATTGTTGACATTATTACAGATGTCCCCTTCCCCACCCTTTGCCTGCCTCCACCCAGACCCCAATTTTATTTCAAAATTTGCACAATTTTAGTAAATACATTTTTCAATTTTTCCTCAGCTGCTCTATATTTTATTATGGTTTTTTGTTGTTGTTTTGTCTTGCTAGTGGTATCATGTCAAGATAATGTCAAAACAAAATCTCCCTTACAGTCCTTCACGCTGGCAGTTTCTCAGTGTATATGCCTCTCCCAACACTCACTGTCTGTGTCTCTCTCTGCCCTTCTCCTCCTGTGATTCGGAATTCCTAGGAGAGGTGCACAGCCTTCAGCATCCCAGGGTTGAGAAAAACAACTTTGTCCTACTGTGCAGCTGTGTTTCAGCACCACGGACAGTGCCTCATGGCCCAGACACACACTCTACTAGTTATAAATGAAAATAGGTTCTTCTATTTCTATAGATCTTTGTACCTTTCACAGTGCAGCCTCTGGACTAGATTAGTTTCATCTGTCCTTTTTTTAAAAACCAAGGATTAAAAAAGTATACCATTTATAGTCTGAAACTGCCTGTAATATTAATGGTTTCCATTTAGTGAACACTTGTTAAGTATTTAGCATACATGATCTCTGACACCTTAAACACTTATGGGTTGGTGCCATTATCACCAAGTTTCAAACATGGAAAGTATGACACACAGAGTTTAGTAATGTACCCACTTCAAATAGTCTCCAAAGCCCAGGCAAACTCCTAAACCAGCTGTGGCACTTTTTGAACAGTCACTGACTTATCTTATTCCTCCACAAAGACACATTCTACAGCATCGGAGACAGCTGGGGAAGAGGCGAAGACCATTGCCAATTTGTGGATTCACACCTGGATGGGAGAACGGGGCCTCACTCCTACATAGAGGCCCTCCCCAGCATTCAAGGTAATGAGAACACAGACCTGGCATGTTCCACTGGGGGTGAGAGAGGAGGACTGATATGGGGAGAAAATGCACCGTGGCCCTGCCTTTGGTGTACCGCTTGATGACAGGTTGTTGGTAGCATTATAGCTCATGACAATCAAACATTAACAAAATACACCTACTGTGTGCTGGAGTTGGGTAAGCCTAGGGAAAGAAGAGCTCAATGGAATATAAGACCTCATCCCTACTCTCAGGAAAATGGTCCATGACCAGAAAGAGAAGCTAAGTATCTGAAAGGCAACTAACAGATACAACTTAAACTGTAGATCAGGGGTCCTCAAACTTTTTAAACAGGGGGCCAGTTCACTGTCCCTCAGACCACTGGAGGGCCGGACTATAGTTTTAAAAAAAACTATGAACAAATTCCTATGCACACTGCACATATCTTATTTTGAAGTAAAAAAACAAAATGGGAACAAATACAATATTTGTATTTGCATGTGGCCCGCGGGCCGGAGTTTGAGGACCCCTGCTGTAGATAGTGACAAGAGTCATGTCACTTGGTCGTCCTGTTGTCAGGCGATTGAGCAGGTTACAGCCACTGTCTGAGTGTGAGGGAGGCCGGCCATCGGACACTGTTGGGGAAGGTTTTCAGAAGAGACAGAGTCAAAAAGAGGCCTAGACACACACAGAGTGGAGGGCCTTTGTGGGGAGAATGGCAGGAACAGTAAGGAAGAGAAAAATAAACAAGTGCAAACCAACCATGACCTGCTTCAGGAGACAGTCTATCAGCTATTTGATGATGGCTGTTGTAAGGTGGGAACAAGTGTATTCACCTCAAGGGTGAACACCTTGCAATATGTTACTTACTCCCCCAACAAACAAATAATCAGAACTGAACAAAGTCCAGCACTTTTCCCATTATGCACTCAATTCTCAACAATCTGGCATTTTCAAGACATGAGATGTTTTCTGATCCATCGACATTTTTAGCTCGGGGAAAAAAATGGTACAAAATTATTCATTTTCAAAGAAGTAAAATACAATAAAATACATAAAACAATAAGTGTATTAAGGTTCTCCAGAAAAACAAAACCAGTGGGGGCGGGGGGAAGGGAGAGAAAAAGGGAGAGAGGTGCTTATTTCAAGGAATTGCCTCATATGATGGTAGAGGCCGGCAAGCCCAGAACCTGAGGGGCCAGCAGGCTAGAGACCCGGGAGAGTCAGTGTTTCCGTGCGAGTCGCTGGCAGAACACTGTCCTCTTCACCGGAAGGAAGTTTCTTTAGGGCCTTTAACTGATTGGATGAGGCCCACCCACAATATGGAGGGTAGTCTATTTTACTCAAAGTGTTGCGATTTAAATGTTAATCTCATCTAAAACACACATTCACAGAAAGACCTGAATAGTTGACCAAATATCTGGGTCCCATAGCCTAGCCAAATTGAATACAGAAAATTAACCATCAAAATAAACATATTAAATATAGGGTGTCCCAACAAATGTATACGCACACTTTGAATAATTATAAAGGCAGTGTTTATTAAAATACATCCCATTTTCAAAATTGAGCTATCTGCTATTAAAACATGTACACATTTTGGGGAGACACCCTATATACAGGTATAAGTGCTTTTCCAAAGTCACCTTACTAACATCGACAGGTGTGGTGGAAAGGGGTTTGTTACCAATATCAGGACTCCTTTACTGCTCTTATCTCTTAGGAAACCCCATGGATTTTAGGAACGCTGTGCCGGGAACAGGGATAAAGACCAAATACATATTTCTTACTATAAATGGCAGTATCACAGATACATTTCTCTCCTCTTTTTCCTTTTCCTGTTCCAGGCTACTACCGCCAGTATCGCCAGGAGCCCGTCCGCTTTGGCAACATTGGCTTTGGGACCCCCTATTACTACGTGGGCTGGTATGAGTGTGGCGTCTCCATCCCAGGGAAGTGGTAACCACGGGACGAGCGTGCGGAAAGCTCGCCCTGCCCGGCCCCCTGGACTAACTCGCACTGAGGGCTGAGCAGGAAAAGGAAGACGGCGCCTGTCCCAAGCCCCTCTGCCCCGTGTCAGCAAGGCCACAGGTGGACACTGGATATTTGGGGCATCTTCAGTCTGGACTCAGCCCCACTTCCTGGCCTGGACCACACACGGGATTCAATGTTGCTGTTAAGTTTGCTTCTCCACACGTTTTGCTTATAATAGCACATCCCAGAGACAACCAAAGCACACAGCTACCCGGGGTGCCCACTGATTCAGGGTGATTTTCACACTTCTTAGGCACAATATCCAGACCATCGGTATCTCCAGAGAACAGCAGAAGCTGGCTTCATGGGATGCTACGCGCTCTCTTTTTTCACCGGACTCCTCCCAAACTAGCTGACGTTATGCTCCTGGCCTCTTTCTCTGCAGGAGAACTGAATTACTCAAATCATCACCCAAGGAAATATATCCTGCTTAAGATTTATCCCATGGACTCACCACTGCTAGACCAAATGTATCAAATCTTGGTAAATCTCATTTTGATATATATATGTATATTTGCATATACATATCCACACTTGTCTGCAAGAACGTTGATTAAAATGGCTAAATTTGTACCTGTTTACTAGAGAAACGTGTGTGGGACTTTTGGGAGCAAAGGTGCTGTTTACGAACATCTTATTGAGTGTCCAGAGCATGCGCACTCAGCAGTGGAGAGCCACGCCTCCGTCCTGTGAGTGCTGCTGAGCTGTGGGTGGCGGGGATACTGCCGCACGGGTGGCAAACTCATTGCAGACTGAGAGCCTTCGATCTCCCACACCCGTGTGCAAACTCGCGGCTGTCTCCGTGGGGACAGACCTAGCATGTTTGCAGATTAAGAGTTTAGGTCCCGAATGATTCGAAAATCCAGTCTTAAAGAAACTCCTTTCCCTCTCCTGCCCGTCTCAGTGTCTGCTTCTTGAAATAAAGCACCTTACCCCTCTTCGCCACAGCTCACGTGAGTTTATTTGAAACACGGTGTATAAGTGAATTTTTCTAATAAGCAGGTAACTGGCTTCGGCACCCACCAGCTGGCCATCACCATCGCCATCAGAGGGTGAGAGGCTCCAGGCTGAGGCCCCTGGGAGAGCCTGCAGTTTGCAATTTCCTGAGTGTTCCCTCGGGTATGAATCATTCATTAGCCATCAGTGCGCACAGCCGGCCTGGTCTCGGCCTCCTCTGGGAGAGATGGGGATCCGGTCAGCAGAGGAGCAGGCGCCTCTCTCCTTCTCGATCCACACTCTTCATAACCACACGGCGTGTGCCCTGCTCCTTTCACACAGGAAGGGCTTCCTGCTCACTCCTCAGAAATACACTGAGTCCCCTGGCGTTCACTCAACAATGAACACCAAGCCCCGTGATACCGGAGGCTGTATTTCATTATAGAAATCTGCACTTTTGTTAGAAAGAAGTGTTTGTGCCCTGGCCGGTGTGCTCAGTGGTCAGAGCATCAGCCTGCGCACTAAAGGGTTGTGGGTTTAATTCCTGTCAAGGGCACGTTCCTGGGTTGCAGATTCCTGGCCCCCGATGGGGGTACGTGTGGGAGGTAACCAATAGATGTGTCTCTCTCACATCGATGTGTTTTTTTTTTCTCTCTGCCCCCACTCTCCCTCCCTTCCACTCCCCAAAAAAAAGAAAAGAAAGAAATGGAAAAAATATCCTCAGTTGAGGATTAACAACAACAAAAAAGTGTTTGCAAGTTTTGATGGAAATTACTACAAACCCCAGATGATAGAGCAGCCAAAACAAAAACACCGGCTCTGAGCCAAGGTGGTACGATTACCAAAATTCTGTCCAAACGTGGTTACGTCACAGTTCACATGAGTGCTCGTGGCCACATCAGCTCTGGCTCCGTGTCCACTCAGGAGGCCACGTTTCTGGACGCCACGGGCCTGAAAACCACTTCGTGTCAAGTCAGGAGGACATTAATGGGGCCATTTTCCTGAAGCCTTTGTCTATTTCAAAGGCTCAAAGAAGCAGCGAGTTTGCCAGCTCTAGAGGCAGAAGCAGCACAGGTGGGGATTCAAGAAAAAGAACACATGACTCGCACAGTGAGGAGCGAGCCTCCTTGGGAAGCAGGGAGAAGTCTGTCCCCGAGAAGCCGGAAATGGCACGGGAAAGGTCTAAACTTGCGCCCGGAGGCCCCGGCCTGTGTTCACGTGGCCTGTGAGCCCAGAATGGCTTTTCAAAGGGCTGTAAACCAAACAAACAGACAAGCAAAAAACTCAGTATTAGTCAACAGAAACCATATGTGGTTCACAGGCCTGAAATATTTACCATCTTACCCTGTAAGAAAAAGTTTGCACAGCCTTAGGTTAGAGTTTTCCTGGGTTTAAAGACGGTTTAAGCAAAGTCCTAATTAAAAACTATCACATCACATAGGACTTCATAGATGTTTGTTTTCCTCGTACTTATGTTTGGAAATTGATGGATATGCTCAGGATAAAAATGTCGAGGAATTCAGTGTGTGTGTGGGGGGGGGGCAGGGCGGGCGGGGGGCGGATTCAAAGGTGGATCTGCAAAGTCTGTATGGGAACTAGTCCTGCTCTAGAAAACGTTCGAGATTCATGCGGGGGGTGAGGGGGGGTGCTCAGAGCTCCCTGGCACCACGTGTCCAGTCTGGCTCAGCACCTGTGGGCTCTGACTCAGACTGAGGGGATGTGGGGGGCATGGGCGCAGCACATGGGGATGTTTGGAAGCAATGGCAGGCTCTCTTCGTGGCCCAGCATTTCTCTACCCTTCCTCGACTTCCACAGCTGTCAGTGGCCTCCGTGCCAGGGAGTGTGCGGGCATGTGCACCTCAGCGTTCACAGTCTACACTAAAACAGCACTTGAGAAGCTGGGCTGGTTTGAAAGCTTGGGGGATGATACCTACGTGATGGGCTTTTTGTGTGTTTGTTGCTCTGGGTGCTGACATCTCTGTTGTTCTAGCTTCATCGAAGCACAGCTGCTCGGAGACTTGGTAAATTCCGTTCACAGCATTTCTGGTTGCCTCGCTGTATCGGAAATATTTGTTTGGTGACCACAGCTTCGTTCTGTTTTTGATGCTGAATTGGAAAATGCTGCTTGTCCTTTGGGAATGTTCTAGTTAATGAGGAACAGATGGTGGTCTGAGAGGTACGGGACTTGTTGACTAGTCAGAAGATCTTGGTGTACATTTAGGGCTTTCTCTGTAGTAGGGATATTTCTGAAGTAACGTGTAATTAGTGAGTGGAAAATAACTTGTATCCTAGTTCATGGTTCAAATACAAGGTCAATATTATCAATGCATCCATGTATATACTAGTACATCTGTAACAGACAACTTTATTAAGTCCTTCCTAAGTATCAGGGACCCTCTGAATACAGATTTATTCTTTGGTGTTTTTTTAAAAAATTTAAAAAACACACACCAACCATTTTAGTGAGGCATGGTTGGCATACAAAAAGGCTATATATAATTAATGTGTACAATGTGATAAGTATATACCTGTGAAACCATCACCACCATCTGTACCAGAAACACACCAATTACCTTCAAAAGTTTCTTCCCATCCTCTCAATTTATTAGTGTGTGTGTGTGCGTGTGTGTGTGTGTGTGTGATAAGAACACTTAACATAGGACCTGCCCTCTGAGCAAGTTTTAAGTGTGCAATACAGTATTGTTAGCTACAGGCCCTGTGCTGTACAGGAGACCTCTAGGCCTTACTCGTCTTGCATGGCCAAAACTAACACCTCTGCATTTCCCCTCCCCAACCCCTGGCAACCACCATTCTCCTCGCTGCTTCAAGAGTTTGTTTTAGATTCTACAGGTAAGTGGAATCATGCAATGTGTGTCCTTCTGTGACTGGCTCATTTTACTCAGTCCTCTGGGTTCATTCATATTGTCACAATTGGCAGGGTTTTTCTTCTTATTAAAGGCTGAATATTCCACTGTGTGTGTGTGTGTATCACAAGATTTATAGAGCACACTCCTGAATTTTGACAAATTTATAGTCAGGTAAGCACCACTGTAATTAAAACAGACAACAGTTCCATTACCTCCCACACACACACACACAAATTCCTCCCCCGTGCCCCCCGCCCCCTTGTCATCAACTGATCTGCTTTCTGTCTCTGTTCTTGCCTTGTCTAGATGTCATGTAAAAGGACGGTTCTATTTCTTCCTTTCCGATCCATTTGCATCTTATTTCTTTTTCTTGCCTATCACTCTGGCAAAGACCTCTCTACACTGATGAAAGAAGACATCTTTGCCTTGTTCCTGATTCCAGAAGGAAAGCTTTTGGTGTTTCAACGCCAAGTATGATGTTAGCCAAAAGCCAAGTCAAGTTGACACGTGAAACACCATCATGAATTGGAACGCCGAGAGGTCGGGGATGTGGCGTGCTGAGCGCCTGGACCATGTCCGGCTCACAGGTCAGGGAATGCTGGACTCCGTGCTGGGCCATGCCCATGCTCTAAACCCAACGCAGGAGGGACCCACTCCCAGACTTACACAGCAGGCAGGGGTGCAACTGAGATAAATTACTCAGAAGACAATTGTGAGGACTGAGCAAGATAATTTGTTTAAGGTACTTAGTGCCTTGCATGTAGTCAATATTCAATAAATTGCAACTATTATCTGATGAATGACAGTGTACGTCAGTTCTCTGGTCTCGAAGAGCCGACCACATGTTCATAAATGCATATGGTCTCCTTCACTTGCCATGTTATGGTGGATGAACTGCTTACCCGTGGTTGGCAAACTGCGGCTTGCGAGCCACATGCGGCTCTTTGGCCCCTTGAGTGTGGCTCTTCCTAAGCCTTAGGAGTACCCTAATTAAGTTAATAACAATGTACCTACCTATATAGTTTAAGTTTAAAAAATTTGGCTCTCAAAAGAAATTTCAATCATTGTACTGTTGATATTTGGCTCTGTTGACTAATGAGTTTGCCGACCACTGGCTTAGACTGTTATGGGCTCATTAATTGTTCAGAAAGCATTGTTCATATGCTTGGGGTTTGATTAAAATTCAAGTGCATTTACACATCCTCTTTCTGCAGTTTCAATGCCATCCACCTGGTAATAGAAACTGGATCCCTACACTGATGACCCACCTATATCTCATTGACTAGAATTCTATTCAGTTGGAGCCAAGAAGACTGCCTTTTCTTTGTGATAAAAGCAAACACCATATTTTTGCAACGGAGGAGTAACAAAGATCTGAATTCAGTCTGAAATTCTAAACTCACTACTTTTCAGTGGCTTCTAACCTGGGCCTAAAGGGATAGCCCTCAATTTATAAAATATTCATACTTCCTCTGTTTCTACTACGATAACTGGTGCAAAACAGACATCTCTAGAGTCATTCCCCCCCAAAAGCCACCAAGATGCTCTAAGACCTTTCCAATGTCTCATCACATACGGCCAATGGGACCTCCTCAAAGAAAACCCCTGAATTTTGACACCAACATAAAATGAGTTCTTACATTTCTTCCATGTGGGAATAAAGTATGTATATAGGAGAGGGGTTATAACGTTATATATGCCTGTTTCTACAGGAAAACCAACGTCACTATACATGTCTTTTGGAAAAAACCCTGAGTGGAGACTGCCTGTATACCCTTTTTCAACATTGTCAACCCGCATTCAGCCAGGCCTGAGCTCCAGGAGAATTTTCTAGGCACTTACATTTAATGATTCACATTTACGCAAGTCAATACCGAGCTTTTGTGCATGCATCAAGTTGAGGTGGTTTTAAGACTTGAAACAGAACAACCCTGATGGATACGCTTAGGAAAACCATGAACAGTGGGAGGAGTCACAGACTTACCCATTCCTTGGGCTCCCCAACACAACTCTTAGGCGCAAAGTAAGAGAGGTAACCAGATGGCAACAGTGTGTGCTGAGTGACATGGGAATGGATGGCCCCGATGTCTTATGGGCTGAATTAGTAAGCGAAGGTGCTGGAGCAGCCGAGAGACAAGAGGGAC